ATAAAATTTAGAATATTAAAAATAAGTATAACACTAAATATTCTTAGACTTCATTTAATTCGTAAAATTAGGATTATTATCAGTATTTGGAAGATCTTCAGAATTACGTAGATCCTCTGTATTTTCAGAATTCTAAATTAAAAGATCATCATACTGCATCATCTACGTAACTTCATTATGACTGGTTAATTATTCTGTTGACAGTATATACCATATATTGACCATATATCAATTATATCAATCATATATATAACTATATTTGTCCAAGTAGTATACCATAGAAAAATTTCAATTTTTTTACTAGAACTTTTATATTTCATAGGAACTCATAGGGACATAGGGATAAGTAGTAAAGAACTCAATAAATCAGGTTAAGAGATACAAAAATGATATTGAGATTGTCTCTATGAGCATTTCCATGAATTTTTCTTATAAGGATAGAGAATCTTCATAAGGATACTCAAAAATTAGCATACTCATTGCCTTGATTCAGATTAAACTATAATCAGGCATCAGAAGTGCTTACAATATTTTACTAATATATCGTTAACAAATAGGTAATAGTTAGATTACAAGATAGTATAAGCCAACTATAATAATACACAGTTTTTTATATTTTGTATTTCAAATTCTCTGACCTGCAAGTCAGTAAAAATTATGTGACTGGCACAGTAAGGTGCAGTATAAAATCAGCTAGTATTATTTTACAATTTCAACTAATACATAAATTCAACCAGATCCTTAAACATAATAACTCAGCATCTAAACTAGTATATAAGTGGTCTGAAATTGGCAAACTAATAGAATCTCTCTAGCTTCTCACTAGTTCTCTAATAGTTCCATGATAGTTTCATAATACTACTACAGCACTATTAAGTTACCATTATAGCGTTAAGCTGGATCCTCAAATCACATACCCAAAAGATCAGCTGAAATTAATCACAAATCTACTACGCCACTTGACACAATATTTTTTTATCACATTTTGGGATTTAAAAAGGCAACCAAATAGGTGCAAAGGGAAAGCACTTCAATATAGAATCTAGCATCCAATCAGGTATAAGAAGTCAGCACTTCAATATAAAATCAGGTATCTAAACAACTACAGAAGATCAATAATTTCATTATAGAATTTAGTATATAAATAACTCAGAAATAAAAAGAAAAATGTAGTATTTAGATTATATGTATGTAGGGATTAGATTATATTATGATAATAAAAAATATATGGTATAAGTAAACTATACTCAACAATAAAATTGTAATATTTAAAAATTTTTTAAAAATTTTAAAAAATAAATTTTAAAGAAAATAAATTGGTAACTTTATTCTTTAAAATGTATGCTATCTAATTACCAGTTCATTTTTCAAAAAAGATCTACATAAAAAGTTATAAGTATTTAAATTCAATTGATTTTTATATGATTGACCTAAATTTGAAACAAATCAAATCACGTGAAAGAAATGTTATTGGTTAAAATTTTTTATAATTTGGGCTGAAATTATGATTTAATGCTAACTCGAATTATTACATTCATCTGACTATGAGAAAACCCTTTTGATTATGATAAAATCTTCACATGTTAATGGAAAAATTCTTCCTGATGTCACGTAAAATGAAACGCCAACTGCAAATCAGTCAGATACCTAGAAAAAGAGGACGTTATATATCTCAAAATCAAGCTGAAACTATCACAGAAGAGATAGAGACTGTTGAAAATGAAAAATGGTTAGAAAATGTAATTATTAAAGAATAATCGAAGGATAAAACTATCGATTGAATAGAAGAAGAATTAAAAGAGTTTGATAAAGTAAAAAAGAAGCTTACCTCCGAAGTTCTTCATTGGCATGAGGATGCTGCTTGTAGCATTAGAATGGCATATACTGGAAATTCAAGAACTACAACATGGAAAAAAAAAAAAAAAAGAAAAATTGAATGATGATGCAAAAGAAATGAGAACTCTTGACATATTTTTTAAAAGTTCTGAAAATTTGCATTCATCACAACCATTGCAATTATCTTTCTCACCATTATCTTCATTTTCACCATCGCCATTTTTATTTCTAGAAATTTCTCTGTTTTTCATTAATAATTTACATACACGTTTGAAAGAAATAGATCAGCAATGTATTTTATCAAAGTTTGCAAAAAGTAATAAAAAAATTCTTACCTATAATTATCTACGATGCCTAAGTATCCGCAAATTCATTTAGCTTTTATTAGAAGGACAAGGTAAAATGAATGCTAGCAGTAATACTGCATAAATCATATGAAATAAAAGGAACTATATGGTAAGGTATATTCAGAAATTGGGAACTCATTATTTATAGACAGGAAAACTTCTTGTTTATCATCAAGAAAAGCATACAAAGCTAGAAAGCTTGGTAGATAATGAGGATTTTAAAGAAGAATGCCTTATATGGTTACGATAACAAGCATTAGAGTCACGTTTTCCTAAACGTCTAAAGACTATATCAAAGAAACAGTGTTTTCAAAATTGACAAGAAATATCAAAAAAGATACAATTTCTGAGAAAACCTGTCAAAATTATATGCATAAGTAGGGATTCAAGTATGATAAAAAAAAAAGGAGTTTATTATGATGGACACGAGAGACCAGATGTGATAGCATATAGGAAAGAATGGTTAAACAGAATGTTTGAATATAAGAAATATATGAAAGACTTTGATGGTGAAATATTAGATATTGTTTTAGAACCTAAATTTAAGCCAGAAGAGAAGGAATTAGTACAAGTGACACATGATGAATGTCACTTTTATGCAAATGATAAACAGTGAAAAATTTGGATAAACAAGGATGAGGATATTTTACGCTCAAAATACATCAGACATTCTATTATAGTTTCAGCATTTCTTTGTACATGTCATAGATTGTTACAATTATCTGATGAATAATTGCAAGAAAACCCACATATCAGAAATAAAGAAGCCTTTATTCTTCAATCTGTATAAACAAATGGGTATTGGAAGTCAGAACATATGTTAGGTCAGGTTTGTTTTTTTTTTGTTCATATATCTAGATTAAAATGTATAATTTAAAGAATCATTAAAATATATTTTTATTATTTAGCTTATATATTAAGCAATGCCAATATTTGAAATATTACATTCCGAGTATATTAGTGTTTTTTGCTTTGATTAATTAACAAACTATAATGCTATGACAGCTGATACACTTATTGCAATAAAAATGAATTTGGATTCTAGAAGAATACAGTCTAAAATGCGTGATGGTTAGTTTTTTAATGAGTATGGTGAGAGATGCATACAGTCGATGATATTCCTAGATAATCATTAACTGAAGGGATAACTAAAGGTGTCAAGCAAGTACTCAGAGAGCGTAATCTTTGACCAACAAACGGAGTTTGTCTAATATGTGAACAATGTTTTGGAAAATGTGATGATGTTAATTCAAAGAGGTTAGACTGCTGTGCACGAAGGATAATATCATTGCAATCTGATTTTTAAGAATAACAGTCAATATTAGAAGAAGTAATAATTAAAGAAGGATACATTTTTAAACGTTACCAAAATTCTATTGTGAATGCAACTTTATAGAATAATACTGGAATTTTGTAAAAACAAGGGACCAGACGGCTTTGCAGCTATAGTTTCGCAGATTTAATAAAAAAGTTCCAAAAGTTCTTGTTAGTGTTCCTCTAACTTCTATTCGTAAGTTTGCACATAAGTCATAAAGATATATAGATGCATATGATAAAGGACTGGAGGGTAGAGTTGCTGAGTGAGCTGTTAATAAATACAAATTGCATCGTCAATTACCTGAGAACATTGAAGATTAATGGATTTATTTCATCACCTTTGTTAAGAACTTTTAATTTTTTTTAATTTTTTTAAATTAAACGCATATATGCGCATATGAATAAAAAACCAGTTTATTACAAAAAAATTCTCATTTTTTATTGGTTGATTGTAGATCACGTGATATAAAATTGGTACCAAAAATTTGAAACATAATCACGTGATTGTCAAGTATAGGTTTTCTATACCATATTAACATAAAAAATATGAATATCAAAAAAGACTTAAAAATATAGCTAAAACATAAAAGAGATATAAAAAAATAATAAAAGTGTTAAATCATATATTATATTTAGATAATAGTATTTAGATTATATGTGATAATTAGATTACATTATTTAGATTATATGTGATATTCAGATTATATATAATATTTAGATTATATTTAGATTATATCTAATATCATAATCTAGGATAAGTGAAATATCACATGTAATATAAATTATATTACATGTGGTATCCCACTCAACTGCTTATTTTAAAATTAATGTTAGCATACTTAGACGTTAGATAAAAGTAAATACAAACTAGTCAATTAAAATAAATAAAAATAGCAGATGAATTAGAGCTAGTCGAAAAGCTTTTTTTCCTGAAGTTAAAAAAAACTGTATAGTTGAATAATAGAATAAAGAAAGTAAGCTTTTGCTATAACTTATGCATTAATTAGAAGTAAAATGCTGAAGATATTGGAAGAATCTAAAATATTAGTGCTTTACAATAATCAATTAAAAAATTTTAAAGTTATACTATTGGCTAGTTACATCTTTGAAACAATATGAACTAATATTAAGAAGACATATAAAACTAGTCTAAAAATTACCAATTCAAACTCAGAAATTACTGGAAAATTTTCAACAATTTGTTATTCATCTTAAAACTGAAAATTCTTTCAAATTAGATGAAATTTTTAATATAGATGAGATCCTAGTTTGGTTCAATATAGCTGACAATATCACAATTAATTTAAAAAGTAAATAAACTATGCATATTTGAGTGACTAGTAATGAAAAAATCAGTTTATTGTGATTTTAACTTGTGCTGCAAGTAAATTCTTTGAATTTATTGAAAAGAAAAGTAGAAATTTTATTATTCTTATTATTATTTATTCATTATTATAGATAGTATTAGATTATCACCTATTTGTATTTTTAAAGAAAAATAGATACTGCAAGGAGAACAAGTTCTGCCTGGAATAGTAGTTTGGTTTCAAGAAAATAGATGGATAAATGCTAATTTGATGAAAATATATGCAAACTATCTTAATAATTTAAGAACTAATAATACTCTAGCAATGTTAGTATATAATTTATTTAGAGATTATTTAGAAGAATCTATTATAATAAAATTTTGCAAAAGTGAATATAATTTAGCTATAATTTCAGATGGATTGATTAGCATTTACCAATAACTTGATATTGAGATTAATAAATTATTCAAAAAAAATTTATAAAAAGAATGGTATAATTGAATGGTTGGAAGTGATGTTGGAATAACTACTGCAGAAAATTTCTGTCAGGCAAGTTTGAGTGATATTTGCATGTGAATCAAGCATTCTTGAGAAGCAATTTCAAATGAAATTATTATTAAATCCTTTAAAATATGTGGAATATCAAATTGTTTAGATAGATGAGATGAAAATGCAAATAAAATTAAAATGAAATTTTGGATATTATAGATGTCGATAGCAGTGATATTAATTAAAGTAATAGTATTAATAGTGATATTAGTAATAATAATGATGATAGCAATAACAATAATGATAGCAGTGATGATAATAGTACAGTCAACTCTTGATATAACGAATTTTTTGAACAAATATAATAAAAATACTCTTGTTATAGCAAATTAGCCAATCAAATCTCTTAAAATCTTCACTATAATCTTATAGCGAAGTTGTGGTCTAGGACATAGAATTCATTATAACAAGAGTTGACTGTAGTAATAATTATAATAATCATTAAAATAATGTAAGAGATATTAATGGTAATAAATTCTTTTAAATAAAAATAAATAAAAAGCATTTGAATTTTAAATAAATTGTCATTTTAGCATTTAGATACTCAAAAAAATTGATAGTACTTATTTTTAGATATTAAAAAAAATGATAGTGCTTATTTTTGGAAAGTGCCTATTTTTAGAGAAATACAGTATTTTATTATTATTATTATTATTATTATTATTATTATTTTTTATATTTTTATTATTATAATAAATAAAATAGGTTTTTTTTTATTATATTATAGGATTTTAAAGAATTATATAAAATTTAATTTTTTTTAAAAAAAAATAAATTTAAATTTAAAAAAAAAAAAAATAAAACTTAAAAAATTCAAAAAATTTATAATTAAATAAAAAAAGATAACTGCTAGAAGTTTACATTTAATAAATACATAATTTGTTTTAATATGTTTCTGAATCATGTGATTAGAAATCAGCCAATAAAAATCTGAGATTTCAAAATTTAAATATTTTATAATTTGCAATATGAAATAACTTTTCCTTCATTATAAATAATAAAAGTAATTAAGTATGTAAAATATTAATATCTTTATTATTATTACTTAAATATTATTTAACTGATCTATTATTTTTTCAATATTTTTAGATAAGCGAAGATGTGACTTATATTTGCTAACAATCTATTCAGTAATTCTACCTTCTAATCCTTTATTATATACATCTATGTATCTTCATAACTTATGTATAAACTTACAGATAATTATTATAAGAATATTAATAAGAATTTCTGAAATCTGTATCAGTAAATTATTAAAATTATAATTGCATAACCATTTTATTTCTCATTTTGTAAAATCTCAATATCTTCTATACTGTTATACTCACAATGAAATTTCAGATAATGTTTAAAAATATATTTTATATTAATTATTATCTTTTTTAATATTGATTGTTATTTATAAAATCTAGTTGCAATAACATTATCTCTTATATATAACAATCTAGTCTTTCTAAATCAATATCAGTTTTTCAAAATACTGCTTAACATCAAATAAATATTCTTTTCAGACTAAAAAGTACGCTTTATAAGCATTTACTTAATATCTTTTAGCTTTTTTTTAGTTTATGATTATCTGAAAATATTATTAATTATATTTATTTTCTTCTATTTTATCAATGTATCAACTATTACACATCTTAAGTTACACTCCTTTAAGACTTAAGTTTATTTTTACCATAATTAGTATATCAATTATCATTACATTATGATTTATAAATTAATCAAACAAAAAACCAATTCAACTAAAATATAATAACTTAAATATTGAAATAGCTTAATGCATGATAAATGAAAAAATCTTAATTAGCTTTATTTTTGGAATTTATTTTGTATTTGTTTTTAGAATTTTTAACTATAATTTAATCCTATCTGATCTAACATATACTTTACTTTTCAATATCTATCTATTTATATAAACAAATAACAAAAATCTCTTTATTTTTCATATATAGATTTTTTTGTAATTATTTATCAGATAATCATAATAACTTAAAGAAAAACTAAAATTATAATAGAAGTTATCTCTAATATTTTGAATGTAGGATATCTTTATCATCTTTTATTTGAATTTTCTATTGTTCATTATTTATATAAAAATTACATTCATCATGTATCACTTTGATTAGCTTTTTTTTATCAGCTTAAGCTAGGATTCTGAAATAATATCTATTATATCACTATCAAATTCTTTCATAAATTTTAATATTTAAACATCTTCTTTAACTATTTTTTTATATATAATACTATATTTGATTATTTATGTTTATTATAATAAACTCCTTCTTTTTTTTTATCATATTTATATCCTAAAAATGCATATAATTTCAGCAAGTTTTCTTAAAAATCATATTTTTTTTAAATATGACCTATTAATTTAAGAAATACTATTTCTTTAATATATATCTTTAGACTTTAAAAATATGTGATATCTGATTTTTATTTCATAACTATAATAGACATTCTTTTTTAAAGTTTTTATTATTTAGTAAATTTTCTAATTTTGCATATTTTTCTTAATGATAAAGAAGAAGCTTACCTGTCTTTATAAAGTAATTTTTTCATTTTTAAATACATTTCGTAATATAATCACTTTTATTTTATATAGTTTATGCAATTTAATTACTAATATTTATTTTATTTTAATTATTTAATAATAACTGTATATATTTATATATATTAAAATAACATAAATAGTCATAGATTAAAATATTTTCATTTGTTTTTACTGATTTTATTATTGAATATTATTAATTTATTTCTTTTAAATATGTTTATAGATTTCTTTTAGTTTCTTTAGAGATAGAAATAAAAGTGAGGATAAAGGTAAAAATAAAAATGATGATAAAAGTAAAGATAATAAAAATTGTGATTACAATGATAATAAAAAGATGTTAATTGATATTTTAATATTAAATAATATATCAATTATTTTTTTATTCTCTTTGTATTATACACTAATTTTTTTATTATTTCTTCAAGCTGTAACTTTTAAAGTTTCAATATATGCTGCTCTAATACTACAGAGGATATTCAAAAGTTTTTGAACGATTTTTCACTTAATATACAACAGAAAATTTTAATGCATAAATTTTCAAAGCTTAATTAATATTTTATTTAAAGTATAATAAGCTTTATATTTTATATTAAACAACTAATACTTAGTTTTACCTCCTTTCGCTAAAATTACCACCTGTATTCATTCCAATATGAGTAGTATATAGTCGTCAGTTTTGTGTTTTTTATTTATTACTAAATGTTTAAACGTTTTATGCTGATTATTATTAATTAAATATAGTCATCTAGATTGACACTTAAAATTCATAGAACCAGTTTACTATATTATTTTAATATATCAAAAACTGTTGTTTTTCCATATCTAAAAGTTCCAGCAATTTTTTAGTATGAATCTTCATGTTAATGACAATAAATATCGTCTTATGTTACTCTATGATTTTTTTTTATTATTTTTTGTGAAGCGTGATGAAGTAAATAAATCAGGTGATTTATGACGTTATATGCAAATATAATATTATATATAAATAAACTAAATGCTGTTTACTCTTTTTATAATTATTAATTATCAAATAAGTTATTCAGAAATTTTGGATACCCTCTATATTTTAATATTATTATACTAAAAAAAACTTTAATAATAAGCCTTTTTCTATTTTTTCAAATTCTCTCAAATCTTTATTTATCTAATTATTAATATTTTTATCTATCCAATTTTATTGATTTTATCTTTAATAATAATTTTTATCTTAATTTTTATTTGATTTTTTAATATATAACATCCTTTTTAGATAACTGATTAACCTGTAATTGCCTTTTTATTTTATGTAACATTTAAAAATATAGTTATTAGTTAAATAAAAATTTTCATTTTACATGTAAAAGTCAATATTTTTTTATAATCATTTGTTTCTCATATAAAGATAATTCAGAATTATTATAATTTTAGTATGAAAAAAATTATGACTAATAAGATTTAGTTTACATGATATAATTTATTTTATATTTAAGCTATTAATATGAAAAAGCTAAGTTAAATGTTTATAACTTTTTATATAAATATTTTTTTAGAAATCTGATCAGTAATTCAATAGTATTTATTATAAAGAATAAAGTTACCAGTTTATTTTTTTTAAAATCTTATTTTTTTAAATATTATAATTTTTTATCTAATATCAACTTTTAGCACTATATCAAAAAATATTAATATATAGATTTATTTATTAAATAGTATAATAATACTTAATAAAATAAATCAAAATAAAAAATTTAATATTTAATATATTTAAATAAAATTATTTAAAAAAGTATTTAAAATTAAAAAATAAATTAAGAAAATTTTTAAGAATAAATTTATTTATTACAAAAGGTAATACTTCTTATACATCATCTTTATATATATATATTTTATCTTAATTCTAATTTAACTTTAAATTATATGATACTAACAGATATGATAAATAGTATTTTACACATAAAAAAATTTCTAAGTTCTTAGAATATATATGAAAAATAAAAAAAGAGTTATAATATGGTTGACAAAGAGAAGACAATAATATTACATCTATAATAAATAAATTTACTCAATTTTTAAAATATTAAAATAAAAAATTAATATTTCAAATAAAAAACTCTAAAATATTAAAAAATATATTTTTAATATTTTTAAAAATTCTATAATAGTTATAATAAAATAATAATTAATATAATACTAATAAAGAATAATTGATAAATTTAAGAATTATATTAAAAAAAATAATAAAAAGTAATTAGAAACTAAATTGAGATTATTTAAAAATAATTATACTTTTAATATAATTAAATCAGTTTATAAATAATATTACAATCTTATAATTAAAAAAATAATATTAAAAAAGTTTTTTTTAAAAATACTAAAAAAATATAAAAATCAAATAATTTAAAATTATATACTAGAGTTATTATTAAAATATAATGAAAAATTAGTTAATAAATATTTTTAAAAAATAGTAATATTAAGAAAAAGAAGAAAAAATAATTTTTCTAGATTCTAATATTAAATTGATTAATTAATTATTATAAAAATTTATTAATATATTATTAAAAACAAGAAGCATACTAATCTTTAAAAAATAAAATTAATAGATTTTCTATATTTAAAGAAAAATATTAAGATTTTATCAAATGAATAAATCCTTTAAAAGTTTTAAAGTTAATTGAATAACAAAAATGAAATAATTGACATATTATTATTCTACTTTATACTAATTTAATTTAATTATAATAAAATATAATAATTAAAAATAATATTTATTTATTTAGAAGCATTATTATTATATCATATCAAAAAAAATATATATAATTTATATTTAGTATTTAATTAAAATTTCTTTTAATTTTAAAAATATTTATAAAAAAAAAATAATATTAAATAAATATTAGTTTGACTATTATTTTCAAATGATATTATATATTAATCTATTAGATATTTATCTTAAAATAAATTTTTTAAAGATAAAATACATGAAAAATAATATTATTAAATAGTTATTAAAGAATATACTTTAATTAAAAGTGAAAATTTATAATTAATTTGTAATTGATTTAAAAATATAGAATAATATGTTTATAGAAATACAGTAGTTTTTAATATTTTTAAAAATATAAAATATTAAAAATAAATAATTATTTTATTATTCTTAATAAAAAAAATATATATATATATATTTTTTATCAAAATTTTTTTTATTAATAAATAATTTTAATAAAATTAAAATATTATTATTAAATTATAATTAAATACAATTTAAATTATAAGAAATTAATTATTAAATAGATTTATATAATTTTATTTAATTTTTATTATATTTAATATGAATTATATTAGTCTATTTAATATTTAGTATTAATATATAAGATAATTTAAAATTATAAATTTTAATAAAAAATTATATTTTTATTTATTTTAAAAACAGTTATAGTCAATTCTTAATATAACGAACTTTTTATATAACGAATTTTTTGAACAAATATAATAAAAATACTCTTGTTATAACGAATTGATTAATCAAATCTCTTAAAATTTTCATTATAGCCTTATAGTGAAGTTGAGGTCTAGAATATAGAGTTCATTATAATAAGAATTGACTGTATTTATTACAAACATGCAAATTATTAAACTTACTATATATTATTAATTTATTATAAATATAAATAAATTGAATAATTGAAGTCAAAAGTATCAATCTTTATAAAATGTATAATTAATGATTAGGATATTTAATCCTATGATTTTTGATTTTAACTAATTAACTATAGTTATAATAATATGCAAAAATATATAATATTTGATTATTTAACTATTTAACCAAATTGATTAATGGTCAAAAATTAGATTTAATTATATATAGCTAAATATTATATTTACTTTAAATAGAAATTATAAGATAATTTTATAAATTTTAAAAATTATAATTAATTTTTTGTTAAATTTATAAAATTTTAAAAAGATTTTTTAACTTTATTAATAAAATAACTTCAGATATTTTTTTTTATTATAAAATGTATATGATAGTTATTTTTATAGTTAATTTTATTTACATTTATATTTTCAGTTATATAAATTTGTAAAATAAATAATATGAATCAATTAACTATAATATTTAATTATTTAATTAAATTTTATATAATCACTTTTTTTTTAAAAATAATATATTATCTAATTTTTTTAACTTTAAAAATAAGAATTTTTAATTTTTTTATTTATTTTATAATTTAAATTTTTAAAAAATAATTGTTAATTAATTAGTAAATGATAACAATTAACAATTTGTTAATTATAATAAAATTGATAATAAATTCTAATTTTTTTTATTATAAAAATATTTTAAAATTTGTTATTTTTTTTAGAAATATAAGAATATTACTTAAGAACCTTTTAAACTACTATATGTTATATTTATAAAATCCTTTAATGATCAATGATCAAACCAAAAAGTAATAAAATATAACAAATTTATTAAAGTTAAATTTATTGTTAATTGTTGATAAAATAGAAACTTTTATTAATATATATTTTATTATTAATTAATAAATTAATATATATATATATATATATTAAATAAAAAGGTTATAGGGATTTGCAATGTAATATAATTTCATATACATTTCTGTTTATTTAATGAGAAAATTATAATTAAAAAAAGAAAAAAAAAAAAAATTCTGACGAGAAAAATATTGAAGAAATATATCGGTCAAGTAGAAATTAAGATAATAATAATTTATGAATAATTAATATAAGAATATACATATAAATTACAAAATTCTTTGTTATATGACCCAGCCGTTTGACCCTCCACACTGTAATTAATTAAGTACTCAGTTTTCCTGCGTAATATGCGAGTAACATTGAAGCAAACATTAATCCAATTTGGTGTGAATTGAAATTAGCTGACTTTGCAAGAATCATTAAATCGTCAGTAATTGTATTGTTTTCAATAACTTCATTCTTTAGTTTTTTTACAGCTGGATCTTCTTTAGGTGAAACTCCTAAGGAATCTGGTACATTTTGAATCTCACGCGACTCTTGAGTTGCAATCTATTTAATGAAAAGAAAAACATGAAATGAATAAACTATCCAAACAATAAATTATTTGTGACTTATTATAATTCACCTTCTTAGGATGCTCTTCAAAAATTCTCTGATATGCTTCTAATTTTAATGATACTAAAAAATGCAATAGAAATTTGATTGTAGTGATTTGCAAATTGAATAACAACAATTAATATTATTTTAATTTACCTTGTGATGATGGTTTAACGAAAGTCTCGGGAGGAATCAAGGCTTGATTAATAAGAACATTATTGATTTTTTCTTCCAATGGTTTGCCGAAAGTCTCGGGATCAATTATGTTTATTTTTGAGGCGAGTGTGACCGGATTCATAGGTTTTACTTCATCAAGAGTATTATTTGTAAGTGTGGCATTTGTCGACATCGTACCAGTAGCATAAGTAGGTATATCCTTTCTTATCGGAATGTCATTGCTATCAGGATCTAAAGCCAAAGGAATTTCTTGCCCGTTATTGTAAGTCATTCGGAAACCTTTAGAACGTTTGCTAGCGGTAATGGTAAAAATGTTCAAGGTAACTTTTGATGGAAGGGTCACACGAATAGTTTCCGCACTTGTCGGCAACAATTCAACCTTACAGTTTTCAGGCATAACAGACACGTCAATACCATTTGGATACATCAATTTTGAAATTTTGAATTCCGTTATGCAACCACTTTCAGGGAGTAATGTTAAATCATATTGATCATTTTTGATATTAAATTCTTCTGTTAGGATCTTTGTGTCAGCCTTGAGAACATATGGACAAAATCCCGTTTTTTGCATTAATTCATCTATTTTAGAGATAGTGGTTGGTATTTGGTTTGACAACATCTTAAGGATAGAAGTTGGAATCGAGTCAAGTTTGATGTCAATATCAACGATGTATATGACATCAACAGATGTAGTGTTTCCTTTGTCATCAACATGAGGTTCTAATCGCCATCCTGCAAAATTTAAATTTGATCTAACATGCTTTTTGCTTTCCGGAATTAATGGGTCAACCACAGATGTGGTGACAAATTGAAGAATTCCAGTATCTTCCTCACTGTGCAACATTCCGCATACTGACATATCACGTCCACTATTTTATCGAATATACGTCAACAACTTGATGGATTAACGAAATAAGAGTTGGACAACCTTCTCATGAAATTCACGTACCTGATAGGGAACGTACCCTTCATTGCCGTTCTGGTTAAATGTTCATGTAAACTAAACCTTTCATAAGTTGCACCTTCGTCATATCGATCGTCCCCTGGTTTATAAGAATGGAAAGCATGATTAAAAATATGAAAATTTATTTTCAAGTTGTAAATAAATATAAACTTACATAATTTTCGCGTATCCAAGTTTATAATGACAGACAAAATGTCATAAGTTGTAAATCCTCCAGAAATAACAGCATCTCCTCGCATGATAGGTGTAGATTTACCAGCATGTTCTTTCGTGTAAATCTTTACCTTTTTATTTTCAGAACTAAAGTTCCATCCAACCAATGGAGTGTGTGAATTAAAAATTTCAAGAGCTCTTTGTATAGAAGCTGTATGACGATGCTGTATTGGTTTCGGAGAGTTTTCTGGCTGAGATAAAGAAAGTCCATTTTCTGTGGCCGTTGTTGGAGAATCTTGTTGAATGGGCAATGATGGTGTATTTGTCGAAGAAGGCTGTTGAATGGGCGATGATTTTACCGTGGTTGAAGAATCTTGTTGAATGGGCAATAATGGTGTCGTTGTCGAAGAAGGCTGTTGAATGGGCGATGATTTTACCGTAGTTGAAGAATCTTGTTGAATAGATGATGATTGTGACTTTGTCGAAGAATCTTGTTGAATAGACGATGATTGTGACTTTGTCGAAGAATCTTGTTGAATAGACGATGATTGTGCCGTCGTTGAAAAATCTTGTTCAATAGGCGAGGATTGAGTTGTTGACGAAGAAGATTGTGGAACATCTGATGATGGAGGACTTTTAGGCGAATGTGAATCGTCCTGATGAGACAAGGAACCATTTGGAATTTCTCTAGTGGAAACCGAGTTTTCATGTTGTTTAGTTGAACTTAGTTTCTCGGAAACATCACGTATAACCGTAAATGAGATTTTCTTCCTCGCAACTTTAACTTCCGCATCTTCCGAATTACAATTATCACTATAATAATGGTCAAATTTGATTAATAAATACTTAAATATTGTACAAAAAAAAAAAAAAAAAAGAGGGATATCTTACTTTACAACGTTAGGAGAAACTTCATGAGCAGATACTGGAGGGGTGGATTCAATTATTATTGGGGGAGGACCATTCTTTTTCAAATATTGATCAATAGTATTCATCACAAGGGGACGTCTTGACAAAACAGTCTTTGCAAGGATTGACGGAACCCATCCTTTAATTTTGGTTTGAAGAACATAAGTAAGTTTTGTCTTTGGTGGATCGTAAGTCAAAGGTTCGAGAATCCACCCATTAAGTTGAATGTGAGCCCGGATCCTATTAGCGATGATTGGGACTTTTGAGGTCTCAACCGAGGTAGTCACAAAATAGATCGCTCCTTCTTCGGTGCATTCAATCCTTTCCACCAAGGATAAATCTCTAGTTCTTTTAAAAATGAAACATAATTAATTCGTATTTGTTTAGGCGCAGTAGATTTTTTTTTTTTTTGTCTCGATAATTACTTGGAACCGGCCAATGCTTGCATAACCATGTAAGTTAAACTTGTTGTTTCGTTTAAATTTTCAACGAGACTTCCCTCCTCATACCTAATGTTTAAATTAATGATAATTCGTTAAAAATTTAGGGAACCAAAATGATCGACAGCTGCGCCAAGACAACGTACCAATCATCCCAAAGTTTTCTCATACTAATAACGGCGAAAACAGATTGCGGAGTGTACCCATCAATTACATGTTCACCCATAAAGACCGGTAATTTATCACCTTTCGAGATTCCAGGTTTATTATAAACCACCACACCATTCTTATGTTGGAACTCTTTTTTCCATCCTGGTTCACTCACCACGTTTTTTAAATTTTGTAAAGCAGTATCGGCTTTTTGTATGTGATATTGTGGGGTCATTTTAATAGGGTCATAAGAGGTTCTGATAGATTCTTCTTCTCCTCCACTTGAACAATTTGATTCTTCAACGAAATTTTCATCGTATTGTTGATCCGACATTTTTTTTTTTTTAATCTTTGAAAAAAAATGACTTTTTTTGTCCCTGTCAAAGAGGAAAATTTCTTTTTTTTTTTTTATTGTTGAAAAATAATGAGCGTTTTATATTAAAAAAAATTTTTTTATAAATTATTTGCTATTTAAGAGTTATAAATGAAATTAATTATTAATTAATGATAAGAATGTGAAAATGAATGAAAATCGGTAAACAAGAACGGAAATGTATGAGGATCAAATGGATCAAAGAGAAATTTCAAATCATAAATAATAAGAAAAAAAAGAAGAGATAGAGAGAGAGGGGGGAAATAAAACCAATTGCTCATGAAAAAAGAGAAGGCATAAAGATTATTTTTATTTTTATTTATTATATTATTTTTTACTCGGTTATAATCAACCCGCTTTTTAAAAAAAAAAAAAAAAGAATAAAAAAATTCCTTTATTCGGCCGACGATAATAATGAATGATGATGATGTACAGAAATTTTCAGACATCCGATATTAGCAAACAAAAAAGATCAACCACACACGAGATTTTATGCAATATTATAAAGACGATTTGTTTTTGATATATTGGGAGATCAACTTTATTCTCTTTACAAGTTTTTCTTTTTCAATCATTAATAAATTAATAAATATTCTTCTTTTTTATAACATTCATTTTGTAAATCTGAATATATTTTTTTTTTTATTAAAATACTTGCTGTTTCAGGAATTAATTAGATGATCAATGACACGTGTCATCTTACGAAACTTGCTTAGCGTTGTAGAATGGCATGTGTTAATCCTTGAAAAGGAGAAATTATCATAATATATATAAAAGTTCGAAAAAATTTTTTCTTTATCAATCTAATGCAACTGGCTTTTTTATTTTTTACTTTTTGAAATATAATTTACATATTTTATTTATTTCGATGTAAAATAATTGAATTAGTAAATTAAATATGAAGATAAATACAAAAAATCTATAGTATTTAAATAACGAATAAAAAAAATTATATATAAATATTTATATATTAAATTATAATATGTTCTTGTCGTCCGTTAATATTATTGCTGCTATTTGGAGGTTTATAATCAGATGGCTCTAAAGGAGCAACTATATTAGGATATTGTGGTTGGACCTCTGAAGCTGGTTGTTCTTCCTCAAATAATGTGGTATCATTATATATGGATGCTGGCAATTTTGGGGGATCATTATATATGGAAGTTCTATTTGGAAATTCATTATATAAAGGTGAATGATTATTGCTTGTGTTATAATTTTGTGCCGAGTCATAAAATTTTGACGCGGGCATTTTGCTAATGAAAAGGAAAAAATCATTTTTTTTTTCTTTGGATTAGTTGATCATTCTCGTAAATATCATGAATATAATAGTTAATAATAATTTTACCCTAATGCTTTTGCACTCGGACCCGACACGATGGGATCATATTCCGCCTCGTTTGGATCCGCAAATGGATCACGTGACGATGAACCACCCACTCCAGCTCCTTCAAGATCCAGATGATATGATCCCCTAAATGATTGCCTCTATAAAAATAGGAAAAACATATATATACATATTATTTCATTTTTTTATATAATAAAATAGTTAAATATAGAATGAATTTATTTACTTGAGATTCTTGTTTTGCTATTTTGACTTGTCCCCTTTCAACCATATCCTCATACATTTTAAATGAATTCAAAAAATCCTGATTAACCGAAAGAAGAGTATTCATCCATTGTTCGTCTTGAATTTCAGATATATAACTCATGATGTTTTGATGTAACGATTTGCATTTTGTATAAAATTCTTGAATCAATTCATTTTTAGTAATATCCTCACTCTCGGGATCCGTAAACGACAAAGTCTGTGTGAATAATTGTACATTATTCTTTGAAACTTCAATGTCTTCGGTAATTTTGGCCTTTGCTGACTGATTCAAAATAAAAATTATTAGAGAAATCAACTCGACCCTTTAATAAAAAATCATTCATCACTTACGACATCGTGAGAGATATTTGTCTTTTGAATAGGATATGAAACGGGTCTCTATGTAAGAATCAAACATGAAAAATGAATCATAGTGAATTCAATAAATAGCAATGATCTATCTATATATAATATCATACCGTAGCTTGTACCGGAGTTTGAACTGGAGTTTGAACACCGGATAGCCCCGTTAGCCTCGTATAGAGATTCGATATTTGATACAAACTAGGTTCATTTTGGAACATTTCAGTTAAATCACTCAACAATGAGATTATTTTATTTTTGATTACATCATCTGTACTTTGGGAAGTTGCTACCAATTCCAGATCATCAAGGAATTTTTTGGATGCAATCTCCGCATGAAACTTTGCTCCACAATTATCCACCATGGATTTTAACACCTAATCCAACATATTTAAAGAATTTTTAATTAATCATGATAAGAAGATAATTGATCAACTAATAATAATAATAATAAAAAAACATACGGTTAACGTTCGATGTTGAACGTTTACTGATTTTGACAATCTCTTCCTGATGAATTTTGCTGCTTCTTTTGCTCCATTCTCTGACGCATTTACCGCATTACAAGTGTTTATGATCAAACCCCAATCATCTTCCTTCTTATTGACACACTGTTCTATAATTTATAGTTCGAATCGTTAAAAATCAAAAGCAAGGCAATATATATACGCATGTAACAAAAAAAAAAAAAAAAAAAAAGGAGAGAGGAGCAGGAAAGCCAGATTTACCTAAATATTCAGAGACAATGGTTCTTGATTTATCAAATAATCTCATTCTATTTATTAAATAATTTGAATATAAAAAAATCGGCGAGTATAACGAGCTTATTGCGATCAAATTTGTATACGTTACTCGTTAGCTTTTTTTTTTTTATTTTTTATTTTTATTTTGCTTTTAAACTTTCCCAGCAATCAACGCTTTAACAGACACACCTTTAGTATTTGTAAATTGAAATTTGAACAAAATTTTAATAGGTGGGAGCGACAAGTAATTTATATTAAGAGTTTAAATTCTGTTTGTGGGACAAACCTTTTCACTTTATTAAATTATATTTTGAATCGAAACCTGAATTTAGGAATGATTCTTCCTTTTGGGGTGAATAAAACAAACCCCTCATTTGATATGTGATACAAACATTCTTGGCATTCATTGCCAACATTCATTTTTCATTTTCTCTTGGCTCCCGTTTAAAAAAAATCTCATGAATCATTCTTAGGGACCAAGGTTTTGAGAGCTGGGCAACTCACCCTAGCGGATTAACCATAAGTTTAAAAATACGCCACGGAATGAAGTAAATCATATTTATATTTTTCTTGCCACTCTTGTAAAATTCCCGGAACCGTTTCATCCAGATCAGCCACTTGTTCATTGTCAATCTGAGTGTCGCCAAAGAATTTGTTTCGAAATATGGATACACATATACATATATATATATAGTTAATTTTATTTTCAATCATTTGTTTCAGTACAATAAGTATCATAATAATCAAGGGTGGGATGGAAAGAAAAAAATTTTCGATCATGTTAGATGGTTTTTTCCAAATAATTCCCGATATATTTAACTTTATCAAAATGGGTAAAATAAAATAAAAAATAAAAAATTTGGTACAAGCAAAAGACAACAAATGAGTAATGAAATGTGAGTACACAAACCATTTGAGCCAGCTGTAATATAGCACGACCTCCAATCATTGCATCCTCATGATTGTCTTTAATGTCAATGTTTATCACATGAACGGGTTTATTCTTATGCTCCCCTCTATCCGTTAAATCTAATGATCCGTAAAATTTGTTAACGTAAATTAAAACTTTTGCAAGCTTTAATAAAATAAATACCTTCACAAATAGCATCAAAACATCGTTCTTCACAGGTTATGATTACATCAAAAGTTTCATTTGCTTCGGTATACCATTGTTCAGGAGCCAACTTAATCTTTCTGTTTCTATCCAACATATCCAATAATCCATTTTGTTTATACCTTTTCAAATTTTAATTGAAACTTTTTGATAAATTTAAATGTTTAACGTATAAAAAACATGATCAATCGCGATATAAATTACAATTTAGTGTCCTTCTCGTATAAATCTTTAAACATATAATCGTATGGAGTTCCAAATGGATAAATATTTGGCCTATCGAGGCTTGGCCCGGGAAGCCTAACCGCAGAGCCTGTGCCATATGATTTTACCTTGAAGCCATATTTGCTATCATAATAATATAATCAGACGTGTATCTTAATTTGAAACAAGGTTATTCTATAAACTTACGTGAGTACATGGTGTGCTTCCATGCTACGATTTTGGTTGCTTGCGCAAACGACTGCAAAATTTCTACCCACTCCCATAATTTATACCAAAAAAAAAAAAGGAAAAATTGGGGTTCAAAAAAAAAACCGAGAGATTTTACGATATTTATAAATGGAATCACGTGAAATGTGTGATCGTATCACATTAATTTTATTAAATTAGCAATTATAATAGTATAAGTATAATTAATCCATAATTTTTGTTAATAAAAATTCACCAATAGATTCAAAATAACCCGGTTGCGCAACTGTGTCTGCATGCGTTCCATAGGGAAACGATTTTATTATTTTCCCACCTTCGGTTTCTGCTAATTCATATAATTTATTAACATGTTCTTTTGGAATAAGGTCATCATTTGCTCCCGAAAGAAATAATATTGGAATTCGCTTTATATTTTGAATAGCTTTCTCTGAATCCCACTTTTGCGTGCAAAAGAATGAAAAGTGACGAAGTTGTGGGATGACGTGAGGTACTACCTTTGGCTAAGAATTTATAAAAAAAAAATTGACAATTAGATTATTGAATCTAATCATGCAAAGCATAAATTCGATGTTAAACTTACAATGCTAAGAAAGGTATTTTCAACTATGAGACCTGAAACCTAAAGAATATCAAATAAATCAAAGTCGTTAAACAAATTTTGAAATATTAAAATCTCACATAACTTATAAACCGACTTTATCTTCGTTTTTTGATA